GATAACGCAGATATACGTATACCTTTACTTATCCGAGTAAAGCTTAGATGGGAAAGTTTTACGCATAAACCGTGTAGTGAGGATGTTGCACTATGAGTTTATCATCCTTAAAACGGTTTCTGCAGAACTAGTTAAATGGTGTTTCTTCAATTTCAGCGGAGCGATATAAAACTACTTTCTAATAGTTTTTCATCCAAAAACTGCAAAAGTTTTACAGTAATGAGATTGCTATTAGAAAAGTTAGAGAAAATTGGACGGGTATATTGAGTTTGGTAATATTAGTTTTAAAAAAAAATATACATATACACGTAGAAGTGTGGAAAGCACGCCGATTGTACCGAAAGCGTTCTCAAGCATATTGTGCGTTTTCATGCAGCATCAACTGATCAAGCTACGACTAACTGAGTCTTCGACCTATACATGGAGTAGTATAAAACATAATGTTTATTGTTATTTAGACAAAATCTGAATACACTGTCCACAACATCCAAGACGCTGAAAATATTTTGAACGAGCAGCTCGCATCGAACGAAGTAAAAACATTTTCGAGTAGAAAAATCGACTTTATTTAAACATTTGTTCGAACAAACCCAAAATATATATATATATATATATATATGTGTATATATCGGTCATAGCCTACGGCTGATGAAAATTTTTAAAAACAGTGTAAATAAACAGCTTTTAGAAATCAGTCCTGTATCTGATTATGGTAATATGTTTTAGAGGGTTGAATGCTTCAAGGTTGTCTTGGTGCTTCGGAAGCGAAGGCTGACTAACTATGCAAACAGAATTTCTTGAAATGGGACTATTGTTAGAAAGAAACCACTAGTTAAGCATGTTATAGCATCTTCGGCCCGTACGTATTATCTTCTTCGGTCCTTTGCAATTTATCAGCTTCCTTCGATTGTAATTGTGAGAAACACGCTACCCAGTGATTGCATAAGACTGTCCCTGGTTGATTAGCATTCACATGTAGAAATATGATATATACCAGTCACGTATATTATAAGGCCGGACGTCGTACTGCTAGCGCTTCTATACATTGCCACTAGTATTCAGTTGGTATATAGTACTGTTTGGATTGTAATAATAGCTTCCTGCTCTAAAGCAAAAATCTATCTTTATTATAATATATGATATTTCTAAATATTTTAACATCAGTACTGTTTAACTGATTGTAGTCTGTCACCGTCGTCCTGCGACTGGACGCCGCCTATTAGCGGCATGCAAAACAGGCCCGTCACGGCCTGGTTTCCATACAAGCCAAACGTCATCCGTGTGGACTTGTCTATTTTAGCGGCAGTGATTGTGGCCTTATCAAGGTCGCTATGGCCCGCGACGCTTTGGACATTCAGCTCAAGTTTTTTTCAGGCAAAACGACAACGGTTCCACTTGGCTGTAGGTTCTGGTTGTCCTTGGTATTCGTGCAGGCAAGCTGAATGCTTATAGCTGTTCATTTCATTCTGGGAAGGCTTACCTTGCGAGTTTGCTAGCATGCAAACATATTATCTGATACACTCTCGATTCCTTGGCAAAAGCAAATACGAGAGAGACAACTGTTCTGCTTGCTTAGTAGTCGAAAGCGACGGAGTGCGTGTTCCGGAAGACTAGAGTTCTACCATGTCACTCAGTAAGCGTCTATCACTTGTTTAGTTCCTTTTCGCGTAGCTCTTTAGGAAAAAAACAACAACGGCGTAAACAAGTCGACAGCTTTTTACGTCAGGCACATCCGTGTCGCTCACCGTCACATACATATACAGCCCAGATAAGTGAGCGAACGGGCGAATGGTTGTGAAGCGATCAGTGGCACCGTCTGAACCACATCCTTCATTCGTGGTCGAGCAGCAGCAGCAGCAAATTTACATCAATCGACCCAGCTTGTGCCAGTTTGCTTGCCCAGATTGCATTTTTTTGTCGAGTATCCTTTTGCCGCGTTCCAAATATTTAACCTCGATCGAACAGTAGAAATTTGTTCGGGAAGCATTTTGCGCGAAAATTTTATCTGCTCCTTTCAGCGGTTTCTGAGTTTAACACAGAATGAATAGCTTTTCTAAAATTTTCGTTGGAAAATGCCGCAGGTTGGCTACTAATCATTTTGCGCTAGAGACAAAACTACGCCGGGAACGATAGGATCCCCATCGATCCGTATCGAGAATCATGAAATTTCGAGATCGATACAAACTGTTTCAAAGCACATGAAGAAATAGATAAAAAAAAAACATGCTAAATAATGCACATTTTGTACGAATGGCTGCGCTCAATTATATTTTTGGTACATTAATTTTTCATCTTTTTCAATATTTTTTCTTTTCAGTATGTGACGTCTGCGTTTGTTTTTGGTGTCGTTGTAACGCATTCTTAATCCTGCAAATAGCATCACCCAAGGATTCAAAAAAATACATCTCCGACTTTCTTCAGTGTTACTGCACAGAAATCCCGGAGAAGTATACGTTGAAAATATCGAATGTTTCTTAACTATAGTTCATTAAACAGAGTCTTCTTCTTCAACTAGTATGCAAAAGTAATTTTTAATATAGTCTTAGTTTTTATCTAGGCAAGTTACCTGAAGATGTTTCCGGTTTGCTATGCACCTCGCTGAAGGTATTTAACAGGCACGCTCGAAGAACAAATTGCTAGCTTATCATAACTCAAACGTACCTCGAAGAGCGACGCTCAGTGTTTCGACATTTACCCTCACACACGATCCGGGGAAGCCTAGTTAGGTGTCAACCTTATATGGTGTACATTGTAAGTCTACAGTCACTTCAATCGCACCAAGATAGGTAGGTTTTAAGCAAACAGCGCTTAAAGCGACATATTTGTTCAGGCTGTCGAGTTAGCTGATTGGTGTCGTCAGACGCAGGATAAAGTTAACGATTTTCTGGCTTTCTCTTTAATGTCTCACAGATGATTTTCTTCTTCCGCTTTATGCGGCATAACGTGCGCTTATTACTATTTCAAAGACTTTACGTAGACGACGAATTCGGAAGACCTTTGCCAGTAAAAATAATGCTATATTATGATTAAGTAATATTATTATTCTATTCCTTTAATCTATCATGGGCATGATACGTTATGTCAACTTTATCTTACATATATATATATATATTTCTCAAATTTCTCTCAAACTTTCAAAATTCTCAAAATTTCTTTCGAAATTAATTTTCTCAAACTTAGTCAGATAAACATTATTTTCTCCATATGATATAGTATCGGTTTTTCGACTCAAACTATACCGCTCTTTGATTTAAGCTTCCTTCTAAGCAAATGCATAAGATACTTGTTACGTAATTCATGCAAACGTTGGTTAAAGTCGCCATTTTACACGGTTGGAGCGATCCCTTAGAGCCTACTACTATGCAGGACCAGAATAAGGCGGGCCGTCTGGAGTGAAATGGACCAGTGCAATTAGGGATAGTTCAGAAGAAGCCTCATTAATCCGCTTTTTTGCATTTTTCTTTTGCACTCTGAAACGAGTGACCTTGTTTAGTTGCAACGACAGACCAAGCTAAACTCCTCTTTTCGCTTGTTCGTCGTCGTTGCTTTTTTCATTCTAATAACTAACGTCCTGCAATGCGCCTTTTGTTGGTCCTTGAAAAACTTGGCCTTGCATAAGGTGGCTTAGAACACAGCTTAAAAGCAACTGTCAGAGGCGAACGACCATTCACTCGATGGTACAAAAAGACTTGCACAACATAGCATAGCATGAAGTCGCGTCGCTTCCTTTCTATTCCCGTACGGTACGCATCTCTGGCGAAGCCATGTGCTAATTACAATTCATTCGATGGAGTTAACTTGAAGTAAACTTTAATATCCTAAACTATAAAAATTTAATCTAATGGAAACCAGATGCTGCTAGGCGGACGAAAAATTGCTTGGATCGTCGCACGTTTTTTATTCTACGTTTGTTTTACCTCGATCTGTCATCGCGTTACGAACAGTCGTACATTTAATTGTTTGCACTATACATCATGCTGTGAAAACTGCATGCACAGTTTAACGTATTATGAATTCGGTCATCGCAAGCATACACATCATGTTTAAATTGAAAAAGTCTCCACATAAGATGTATAGCTTTTCCTTCTGTCGCGGATGTTAAACGATACTATATGGTTTTAGTCAATACACTTCTAAGACCGGTGGGCTATTGGGTCGCAAATTCTATCACGACTCTTAAATCTCCTAATGTCGTTTGTTTTTTTGGCGTAGAACTTATTTTTAGGGTATGCCCGCTACGAAAAGCCCATTGGCCTCAGTTCTGGGGAAAGGCGGGCAAAGTGTTCTACAGAACCTCTTCGTCCAACCTATTTAATCAAGAGGAGTACCTACGACAGCGCGCAAATGCTTTATCCTGTTGAGATCCGCCATCTTCACCAAAGTTGTGCTGAATACGTGCTAACGTTAATAGTTACGGTAAATTTAAGTCATTGTAATATGTATGTATATACACAGATCGCAATAACTTCAGCCCATAAGAAGTCTCCACCGAAACTAGTGGATTTGTTGACATAAATTGTTCTGATTACTATTTACGGTTCCGTTTGTTATAAGATACGTTTGAATAACTGGATCATCTGGCTTTTCCCTCTGGTCTGCTGAGTACGCGCACTATTATATAGCAAACGCTATTAAATAAGTTGATTTAAAGAGAATCCGTGCGAGAGCGCAAATCATTTATTGCTTTAATAGAGGACGGATAAATAAGGCCGGCGTAAACCGACTAACAGCGAACATGTGCTACGCTCAGAAAATGTCCAGAGTCGAACGGAAGAGGGCAACAGAAGCAACTAATGAAGTTCCCGCAACGAACCCTAGTGCTTCTTCTAGCGTCGATATAGTTACAGTTATATGCGCTACAGAAACACTATGAACTAAAGCCTAAAAAGTTTTTTGTAGATAATATGATAAAATTGTAAGGTTGGTATTTACCCTAATGAATGTTGCAATCTACTTAACCGGCAGAGGTAGTGATAGAGATGCGCTATGCTTTCTCTTTGCTTGATAATAATTACGCCGCTCAAAGCTGAATGGCCCCGGGCAAGCGAGCATGCAGGCACTTGGTTAGTAAGGGAGATCACTGAAATGGTATGTACGTAGTGTACGTATAATACGGCTTAATTTTAAAGGCTCTAATTAACGGATGGCGCATTTAAAGATTATATAGATTGTCAAAATGCGATGGTAAACCAGAACGAAAAGTGTTACAGTGATGTACTGAAACATCCTAAGCGATTTCTTGACCATTGTTCCCACTAGATTATATGCTATCGTGGGATTCTATTAGGTCAATTTCAGAATAAATTGCTTCTTTGTAAAAAGAAGAAACTCAGACTTAGAGCAGACTTTAAATAGCAACGGGCGTTCTTAAAGCAATCTAGTTCTTCATAGGAATGTTTATACGTGGCCAGAAAAAACAAGGCCCTTAGTTCATAATTGGCTATTGATCAACTTTCCGAACGGCATGAAGACGAATATAGTCTCATTGCTCATCAGAAATAATTATTTTTATTTTACATTGCTCGAACGGTCAAGTCAAGTCCCTGTAATCAAGATGCTGTTTCTAATATTATTGTTGTGCTTGTTGTAAAAACTGCCATATGCTAAGATGTCCCGTGTCTTCTGTAATTCAGTTAGGAAGCATTTAATGGAGATAATTACGCACCATTTCAATATTGTTGTTGTTTCCCCTGTTGTCTGTTCAGCCCGTCGACTTGAAGCCCAGTGAATGTGTATGCCCATTAAGGTGGCACAGGAAAAGGTACGTGAATAATTGAGTATAGATTCCAAAAGAACGGTAACTAACAGAAACAGATATTTTAGCACGGATTCTAATGTAAGATACACGTATTTAGTTTCGCCAAAGACTGTATCTTGCAGAAAAGCCTGTTTACATAAATCCAAGGTAAGGGAACGGTTTCAGCAGCCCTTATAATTAGTTATAGTCACCATCTATATGCTAAAACACGAACATTTGATTGCACTAGACTGCAGCAAAGATTTATGCCGATTGTTATTTTTTTTGTTCAGCTTACTTTGCATTTTCTCATTCCAAAGCGAATTACAATTAAAAGCGACAAGCTCAACTCCAAGTAGTCGAGACTTTCCTAAAATAGAAGGCAATTAAATATTTTTATAAACAAGAGCACTTTTAAAGGCGATAAGACCTATTCTAACGTTGTCGTCCAAAGGAAGAGTACCCGCGTAGTTTGAGGTGTAGCAGAATGGACCGTTACACGCGTCCATCCACGGGGAACTGTGTTCCTTTAGCTGAATTTATCATCAGAACGCTGTCATCGGACCCGACATATTGACTCTTCTCTCTTTTTTAGTGATTATCGGGCCGTGGCATTAAGCTAATCACGTTGACGTTAAAAAATTCCTCGTCCACCGTTTAGATCTATCTAAAACTGTTCGTAAAAATTCTAGTAGTTGCCAACGAGTCTTTACAATTTAGTTGACAACACTTGACTTACCACCAAGTTTCTTACCTAATTTGCTGCACCCCTACATACGTCCGATATGCCTTTGCTAACTACTCACTGATGAAGGTTGCGTATTTGAAGGTTTTTAAAATCAATCATTACAAAGGCCTCATTATATTAATGACTACCGTAGTGCATTGCTTATTGTTATAGGCATAATAAAATATCCAATTGCTCCTGGTTACCATATCTTATTTGTCTTCAACTAGATTTTCAATCTAATCTGGAAGCATCAAACCCAGAATTAAAGTTGTTGCGTAATAATAGTTCAGCGGCAGCTGTTACTGTGTTTTCAGACAGTTCTGTATATGTTAGTTAAGAAAAAATTTAGTTTATGTTAGTCAGTACTTCGACCCATATAAACAAACATCATATTACCAGTCCTCTCGAGCTAGAGCAAGAAATGTTTTTTCTCACACAAGTTCAGAATGACAACGAGTACTCGTTTAAAGATATTTTCGTGTTCCTGCCCGTTGCAGGATCGGTGAGTCTATACTATCCGCATTCTATGCCCAAGCAGCCTGAAGCAAACCCTTCACGACGCAAGTGGAAATCACCGGATCCGTCCACTTACAAATACAGCCACCTTCCTTAAAAAATTCGACGTATGAAGGTTTCACGCATACGGCATTAAGTAAAGGTCGATATTAGTTTTCCAAATTTCCCCTATCAAGCATATAGTTTTTAGTGTCTGCTCGGAATCAAGTGCCGACCGTGCAACTTACTGCATATAACCACGCGCTTGTGTCCGTATATCAGTTTGATATTTACAGAAAATATTGTAAATATCATTGTGTGAAAATATAGTATTTATTATTTTTGATGAATTTTAACTATGGCTTTAATGGTAGTGTTTTTTTACGATTCCGTCATAGAACACCCGTATCGAACTAAGTTATGTCCTATCACGAACGAGCGAAATGGCAAATTAGCTTTTAAAAATGAACGAATGAATTTTTAAACGTTAACAAAGATTGAACGTTGACATTTTTTTCAGAGATATATGTAACCATATTTATACAACGGTGAAATTATATAGCGAATACCTATTCCCATTGGCCATATATCGTCAAAAAATGAATTAGGGTAGGAAGCGAAAATTCAACTGGTTTTTTTTAACGAAGTTTAAATACAATTTTTTTCGCTACCCAAACTTTGTACTGTGAGAGAACGTTTATAATAGATAAGAATGGATGGCAATACTGAACTAAACCTTTGACTTGATTTTTTTGCGGTATGGGCAATCTTCTCTGATGGCTATTACCTGTTTTGATAGGATTTGGGCGTCGTACATTTTTGATTTAACCGACTAGAGGGCGGTTGTTGTTGTTGTCCCAACCGTCACCAACTGTACGAACGCCATTTTTACTAGAGTGACAACGTACTACGAATATCTTCAAATCAGCGTTCATGAAACTGTCAAGTATTTAAGATTTCTCCTAAATTGAACTTCACGTATGGCGGGCGAGTTCCCATTGCTATTAAATCTCTACTCATAGCGAGTATGGCCTTTTCCTGAACGATCTCACGATCGATGAATGCTAAATGGAACGCATCTGGTCTGACTATCGGCTATATTAATACCGTAATTTTATTTTCAAATAGTAAAACTGCCTACGGATCGATTCAATACCTGCTGAAACAATTTATTTTAAGTAAATAATAAAATACGTATACGTTAAAATGTATACGTATATGTACAATAAAATGTACGTATGCGTTCACGAGCCAAATAAATACACTTATTATAAGGGGCGGTATTCGATGACACAGCGTGTTAGCGAACAGATCGGTAAATATTATGTATTCTCGAATGCCCCGTAAGCTACGTTAGCCCCTCATTGTTACCCTTCCTATCAGCGTGTCGTAGGCTAAATAAGTTATTCAGACCAAGTCCGATTAAAAAGGTCATACGATTATTCCTAACTCAAGATGAGATTAGCACTCGTCAATAGTACCTCAATAGCTTTTGTTTGCGGTATCGCGTGAAAGGTCTTCGAAATATTATAAACAAAAAAACAAGGTGAAGACAAGCTTCAACATGGCAATGTAACTTAAATAAGCTGTACTACCCAAATAATTCACTCCGACTGACCCGACGTCAACAATGAGCTAAGTACAAATGTAACCCGTAGGCTACCTACGAGATAGTAGTGATCAAGTATTCCTTACATCGACCTAAAGCACAGAACGGGGAAACGGTCATACTACATATACGCAATACAAGCGGCATTCGAACTTTCACTACGAGGTAACATTTTTAATGTTACGCTAAGTTCGTTCTTGGTTAATCAAAGTTACTAGCCATGTAAAGTTTATCTGTGTTTGGACAAATAGTTACATAGAAACACAGAGGTACATAGAAACTCGAAGGCTCAAAACAAACTACAAAAACATATAGTAACAGATATATCAGATTTGAAAAGTAAAAAGACTAATACCTGTTGCAGTGTTGATGCAAAACGCTATGTAGTCTTAATAATATTACTCTAAGTATCAGGATAATCAAGTAGTTGGTGTAAAATACGAAAGACTCAACAGAAACGTCGTAATGGAACTTCGTTTAATACGACAAATATGCCGCTATCAACCGAATTTCCTTTTGTCCCAATTGTTGCAGCTAGAAAGGCTAGACACCTACGGAGTTTCCTTGAGTTGGTCTAATACGATCTACGGCTTTTATAGATATAACGCAAATTCAGTAGATTTTTGTGTGCGTAAGCGACCAAGGGCGACCACATAAAGATGGAAGTTTTCTGAGGAGGCAAAGAACTTTATTGTGAAATACTTGGATAGCATTACTAGCGCAGAGCATGGCGCTTGCAAGAGAGCCCTTATTAAATTGTCGAATTGCGTGGCCATTTGTAACAATTAGACATTAGTGTTCCCAACAACTGATTCCATACGGCAACACTTGAAATGGTAACGTATCGTGCGAGAAGCTCTGCATGAACAGCTTTCATAGGAAGACATCGAACGTTAAATTCAGTAGTTTCGAGAGATCAGTACGGCTGATTATGACATGCGACATGGCAAACTTGACATGTTTTCTTTTCGATAATTTTTAAACCAATCAGATATATTATTGGTTTATCAGCACAACTTGTATCGCCTGCTGCACAAAGACTACCCTTCAAAAACCTGTTGAGCGAGCCACTTACTCGAATTATATCTCTCAAAATTTACAGTAGTCCTTAAGTGAAGATTTCAAAGCAACTTAATATGCGTTGTGAGACAAGCTGTGTAAAGGTCTTCTACAACTACCCCGTATTGCGAACTTGCTGCTATACATGGTGAGATAGTAGAGCTCTTTATCGTTTTTAATGGTTACAAGTTCCTAAATTCAAAGCAAGCAAACGTGCGATAAAATGACAAAGCAGAAAAAAACTAGAAGGAAGAATAGGGAACAGCTAGCAAATGATCCAATATGTTTTAACATTATTATTTCGAACTGGTATAACAGAAGATCTACAGTTGTATATAGACGCGTCGATAAACTTGAACAGGCAGCTCTGTGGCACGCGCTACATCTTATCTAAATATGTGATTTTCGAGCACGGAGCGCTGGTAGAATCTTGAAGGTTCAGAAGCGGGGCCAACACTCCGACAAACAGCATAAATGACACTAGTTTGCAAGTAAGGTTCGTTGAGTAAAAGTCAAAACGTGGTCTGATTATAAGTACACTATATTTTCAAAGGTTTTTATGGACCATCTTTTGGGATATTGTGCCCAGTTCACTCAAGACAGGTGCAAGAATCACTTTCTGTTCTTTTCCTACAAGCGCGATGTAGAGTTAGTTAAATACAGCCAGCCGGAATATCCAAACAGCGAATTATTCAAAAATGTATGACTCGTTTGTTGCTTCGTGATGGAACGTGGCTTGCTGAGGATAAAGTATTCATTTCGGTAGTCTATTTTGCACCATAGAAATTAGTTTATGTAGAGCGCAAGAATACTTGATCTGATATGAACGTTGTTCCAGGTGTATTCAGTGTTTCCGTGATGGTACAATGGCGGTATATGCTTGCCTAGTAAACTTTGCGACTTGTAGGGTAGCCGTAGGTACCTTTCGCATCGAGTTAGGATCCGGCTACCTGGAACATGTTAGCGGTACTACCAGTTAGTTTTTTACGGGTTTAGTCAGCCTGAGTTGAAATCAGCGATTTCATGAACGACGTGAGTATAGCCTCCGAGAACTAAACCTTGATTGAACTATTTTTAGCTCAGATTGTCAGCTCCAGCAATAATCATTCATCACTGCGCAAGTCGATAAGGAACTGCGCCAACCCAAATCATAAATCTGAGGAATACTTTGTAGATGATGATGGTGGTTATGACCTTATGGGCGCTGACGTGGATCTGACGGACGGGCGGCAAATAAATATTGATATGTTTTGGCGAAAAACATCTTCTGCACCAGTTTGTGTGTTTCAGAGCACTCGATACGGTCACAAAATTTCAAGAGTACATTTAAATAATCATCAGCCGCATAAATTGAACACATCTGCGTCGAAGGGGATAGCATCTTTAATTTGTCACAAAGTGGACATTGAACTTTTTTTTTGTATAAAAAAAAGAGCATTGATGGACGCTATCCGGATAGCGTTTCAACAGTTCTTTCTAGCATATTAAATATTTAACTCCGGGTCAGCCATTTCCATCATATAATTTAAATTTTTGTCCCCGAAAAACAAAGCTGCTTGCTTGAAAAACAAAGCTTGATAGATTCCTGATATAACCTGTATGGTTAAGTATAACCTAACATCATAATATTTTAAGCACCAACTTTTACTGATTTCACAAATATAGGTAGCGGTGAATCCAAAGATGCTGCGACTTGGGCTTGCTGGAAAATGTACAGCTTTTTTTATAACGAAGTCGAAAGACTAAATAGTTTCGACTATGTAGGTGTATTTACATAATATTTCAGTACAAGGCATGTCGATATGTCGGGAAATGTTACTGATCCGCTCGCGGGGCCAATTTCGGGGCATGCAATGCGTCTGTTGTTACTGAAAGCAGGGCATAAGTTCACAAAAGGTGTACATAGGGCGCGGATCTCATACGTATGTGTTTGGAAAAGCAAAATTCCCTGCCTTTTGTATATATATATATATATATATACAGTATACGAAGAAGTAGACACCTTCATAAATTTGATATTTTAAAACAAATAACTCTTATAATATAATAATAATAATAATCTAGAACATAACAAACGCTTCAAGCTATATTTAATAATAGTGTAGTTACTTTTGCTTATTTAAGTACAAGGATAAACATGTGTCTGCTTCATTGCCAGTGTTTCTTGCTTTAAGCGTAAGGAATAAATACTTTTATGAGGCAATGTTCATGGGTATGGAATTTCAATATAAACAAAAGTTCATTTTTTTATTTGTTAATATCGATTTATTTACGACAGGACTTCGTTTCATACAAAGGACAGAACAAGCTTGACAGAATTCTCGGATTGGTATCCAGGGTATACGGTATTTCTATTAAATTTGTCGAATCTGAATTAAAGCTTTCACATATTTTCTCAAAAATGTACATTTTCCCAGTGTTTTTTATTTCAAATCTTGTTATCTGTTTTTTTTTACGCATATTGCGTACCCTGGACCGGGTTTTTCGGGGGAATCTGCTGAGCACTCGAAAGTTCTGTCGATTTAGATACAATAATATAATCGATAAGTCGAATAGTACTTCTAAGTGAAGGATAAGCCAAAAAACAGTCTATCTAGTGTCCTCGGTGTAGGAAAAACGCGAACCTTCACGTTTTTACTCTTACGTTAACCTAGTTAATCTTTACCGTACATGGAAACAATTTTCATCAAATCTCCTTTTAAAAATCACCTACCAAATTCGATTTATTTAGTATGATTTGATATCATAACGCTGCACAGATCAGCGTTGACTTTACCAGTTACTTTATGAGCACAATGCTTTAAATAATGAATTGTTTTCTGTGTTATCTTATAGGTTCTGCCCTTTACGTAAACCCAAAGGTCAAAATCGAGAAGACAAATGACACAGGACTGGAATGGCTATTTAATGTCACAGCCGCAGATTGAGATTAGCCGGCCTCGGATAATAATGGTTTTAAGCTGACTGATCCTTTTTTCACGCAGTATCACAATTGACCCTATCTTGCTGCAGCCAGAACGTTTTTTGCATCCAGTGCCTTTATGTTGGTCCATAAAAAAAGCTTACAATAGCTGACGATAGAGTCTGCCACTAACTGGTGCCAGCGTTCCATTATTTCTTTTGAAATAAACGACCTAATGACATGTTTGATCTTCAAACCACATCACTCAGATCTTTGCGAACGAACTGGTTGTTTGAAATCTACACTTGGCTTTATTATAACAAATTGTGCAATAAAGAAAAATCGCTAAAGCATGTCTTGCGTATGTTAGCGCCTCATTTGGTTGATTGATCGTAGCGCTAACATGTGATTAGCAAATAAATGACGCTCCTGGATCTTTAATTGTTGAGTCAGCTGTACGGCTAAAGAGACGGCTTTCGTTTTAGATCGGTCGCTGGTTGTTACTCAGTAAGCCAAGTTGTTGAGTATGACGTCGTGCTAAGGTTGTTGGATCGGCATCCATATTCCTTTATACTTTAACGATGTTGACTTGTTCGGCCAATGGTAATCTTCCCGAGATAAGCCGGATGTCTTCAATGTTTGCCTCGCCAACGAGAAGTCTCTTTCGTATAATCAATAACACTTATGGACTCTCGTCTCAATTGTAAATTTTCAAGAGGAATAAATAAAGCGTCACTCCAAGCCGTGGCTTTTCATCCATTTATTTAATAGTGCGCTAGATTTTGTTTGTTTATGCGAGTGGGGTAAGGTCGGGTTTATATTTTTAGCCTGCCCATGTAACTGAGAAGCGTAGTGACTAGGAGTGTGTGCACTTGGTACTGGCTTTGTCCTATCATCTCTTTCGAGTACATGGACATGATATATTCGTGTCTGTATAAATGGTCAATTATTTCAATATTAATGTCTATATCATTAAATCCGTATATCGTATAATCAGTATTTAAGTATCGGCTCGCAGGTCTTGAGAATCTGGTCGGTTTTGAGGATGAATTGTTCTTTGTCATAGTAAATCAACTCCTATGCTTTCTTAACGGCCATGTAGAATTTATTCTTTTACAACTGTTCTATGTGAGCCCCGTCTGGGATACATATATTGATAGTGCACTTTTTGGGCGCCAGCGACCCAATTCACTGGTAATGCAATGATGACCGGCTTAAATACGTCATGGGTATAGAGAGCGATTATCATCTCCTGTCCAAGCATTATTCCATTACGAGCCGGTTTTGGAAATACAGCTGTTTATCAGCATGTATCACCAATTAGACACGGCCAACTTCGCTCGTTCAATCGATCATAATCTCGAACGAATTTTAAGCATTACAAGTGCGACCACCGGCATTATAGATACGGAAACCTTATACGTAGCTAAAAAAATCTCGTTTGCATGCATCGCGTAATTACTGTGCACGTAAAAATATTCTACAAAGAATCGTAGCTTTGTCGTGCCAAATTTTCCAACAGCAGACTAATTTTGGTTATCGAAAATAGCCTGATATATCGGTTGTTTGTAACTTATTGCCGTATTCAACATCTGTCTGCGAAACATGACGCAAGGATAGGCTAACGGTAGGGTCAAGCTTAGGTCTATAATTGAGACATGTGGTGTAGGTATAGAAATAATAGGGAGTGAAGGAGTAATTAAAGGAAAAAAATTACAGTTAATAAACACGTAAGCTTAGAGTTCGAAAAGCATCTGTTTCAGTCAAGCTTATTTTTTTCTTTTAGTTCGACCTTTGCTGTACTTCTACTTCTCTATATTCCATATCAACCCGTTATATTTTATATGCTTTTCTGAGTTAATTACCATATTCTCATTTAAGCTCTTAAGTTCAGCTGAATAGTTTACTTGACAAACGACCGGTTAATGCCTCAACTTGTGTGCGCCTCAGTGAACCCCCAGCCTCGCGCCCCTCTACGCTCGCTACAAGTAACGCCACTGGACAGATCTCACATTAATACGTGCATTGCATGTTAAATTTTTACGCGATGATGCGCCGCTTTCGAAAAAAGGTCTTACTGTGATACACACTTTATACGAGCACTGGGCATTTGAAGCAGTGACCCTCTCGATTTTGCCACCTGGGCATACGTTCCTAGGTGGCTGTGCGACCGGGATACATTGGCGCATTTACTGTGGTGGAAAGAACAACGACATTAAGTGCTTCAAGGCTTCGAAGGGCCTTATGTCTCTTTTTTAAACCCTCATGGCCTGCGTTGAGGCTGATCCTGATGATGGTCGTATTGCTCTGCTCGCATACTGGCTGTTAACTCCATATTCTTTTAGTTTTATTTGCTGCGCAAACATGACTTAGAATCCTCTCGATATTAGCCGATCTAACCCCAAATTGTCCCATGTAAATTAGTTGATCGAGTTTGGTTTATCGATGCTGGACATTATTTCCAATATTATTTCATTTATTATAAGATTTCATAAGTTATTGGTATTTCACTGTATTACATATTGCTTTGCTATGCTATGCATTGTTGAAATACAGGGACGTTGAAGAGTTCAACTATTGCATTTGAAGATCGAAGTTTTACTGTTTAAGGTCAAGTGTTAATCAAACTGGAGTTTCAGTAGAGTTACAAGAAAGAGTTATAATAGACCTAACCCTATTATCTTCCAGTAGCTGCCTAATATTTTTAGATAATTCAAAGCTCCAACTCCTCTTCTACCGAAACCTATATTTATATACATTTAATACGTTGGATCCTTGTTAGGAGAATATAGCGATAACCGTAGATTGATTTAATGAGGTTAAACGCGTATCTATAAAATTCATTTGCTAATGTTAATTAGCAGCGATTTAGTATTATAATTTCGTTTCAGAAACGTTAATTATATATCGGTGGAAAAACATTTCGTACAGAACACATATATAGGTAAACCTAGTATTTTTTAAAGAGGAAGAATAGACGTATACGGATCGAATTATTGGTATTACTAGTAATATCCTAGAGTGAACGGGAGCTTGTCCATATGTACTGACCACCTCTGTCATCTGTATGGGCAGGCCTGGCTCTCCAACATCTCTGGAAGTTTTTTCGTAGTAAAGAATATGGTAAGTAGAGGCTCTCGCGGTTATAGATCCTGTGGCAAAGAGTCGACAAGTTGACTCCCGTATGGCAGTTTTCTCTATAACGATAGCACAGATAGAGTTCTCTGTTTTTGCTGATTTTTCTCCGTGAAGCTGAAAAGGACGTTTTCTCCAAAGATTAAAAATTTCTGATAGATATTAGTGGCTCTACGAACATTAGAAGCTGTCTTCTCCTTCGAACAGCCTAAATTGTAGTCTGGGCATTTTGCAAACGCAAGTCGGCTAGCTAAATAGTAGCTATAAATTTACTACTGGATCTGTTACAGAGTTGCGGAATGGCTAAAACATTGAAATTGAGCATTCTGGTTAGCTTAACACGAAATAGCGTTTAGACATAGCAGTGCCACATATCTAATAGAGCGAGAAGTTCAAGCTTATAATTCAAGTTCAGGAACTATATATATATATATATATGTCTTGAATTAATAAGGATAAAATAGTAAAGGGATTCGATGAAAAGTGAATAAGGTTAAATTTTACACTTTAGTACCTTATTTACAGAAACGTAAATACTCTGAGCAGGAAACCTTCATATCTTCCGTTACTAATTCGGCAATTCAGCCTGTCTAAAAGCAAATATGAGTGAACAGTAGCCGAAATACTAAAAAAAAATCCTTATCTTCAAGTGCAAGACATCTAGAGCGATAAATATCAACTAAATTAATATTAACATTAAACGGATTGGATTAGAAGTGTGGCATAAATGGACGCGACGCTTATGAACCGAAAACTTTTTGGTGACCATTATACAGCAGAAAATTTTGGGACGATCGAAATAAAATAGACGATTCCGAATCAAAATGAAGGTCTCGTCACTTTCTGTAGCGGACGGAACCGGTTTGCTCTGTTGATTCAGTAAAGATGATGCAGAGTGAATGTCCTTTGTCCGCGCTTATTGGCCTCGTTTGAGAGGCAGGCAGATTACAGTAATTATTCGTTTCCAGGCTCCTAGTTATAAAATAACAGTAGCTTTTTTTCTTCTTAACCTATTAAAAATCGGCTATTTTTTGTGAGCTCTAGATATCGTTAAAGTGTTTGTTACCCTGAATCGGGATGGCTGTTAGGAAAATCTTGGTCTCATCCTAACTTAGCACACAACGCAAAACAATTCTAAAAACGACAATTTTTTTATATCACAAACATATAAAAACCCTGTAATTGCTCTCACTTCATCATTCACCATCGGAATCTATCAATCCGTTATCAGTTTACAGACTGTAATGTTATTTGCATTACTACCAGGCCCATTGTAAGACTGTTTGCGATGTAAATAAAAGCCAATGATTGCAAAACCTGTTAAAAAACCTCTTGGCGGACGAGTTAAAATATGTTTTCAACGCGTGCGGGACATGGATCGGATTGGGAACCGACAGAATCTGAACGCTAAGTAATACGCTAGATACGATCGCATCACCCAAAATATCGAAATAACTGCAATATTCGTCCATTTACGTACGAAGGAAATTTTTCAAGTGGATTCGCCATGTTGAGCAAACGCGCTCAACCTCAGGACGTCCAACTCTCATGTGCATCCAACACCTACTAGTCACTGCTACTTCATTTAAGTTCAGCAACGATATGATTACTGATTCATAAGTTAGCATTATGCTGCATCAAATATTCTCAGTATACATCACGAACTCGGTGATTAGTCAAATTGGAATAGACCAGATACAATTTATTGATTAAAGATGTCGTTCTTCATGCCATTACAAAGAGTCTAGGCAAAGTGAGTTCCCAATAATGAACGCGAATCAACGAAGTCGATAGCTGAAGGGGGGCTGGCCTAAACTTACGACTGTCCTGCTGCTCAGCCTGACTAAGGTAGCGTGCCAATCCCAACACAATGGTCTATATATGCGGTTGATTAGTGCAATTTTATTACGAGCGTATACGCTCTTGCGTATGTCCTGTCAAGGAACATGAAATATTGTTCTTTTTTTTTGTCAACTACGCTGCACTAACCACACTGGCTCTGTTACCCCCTTTTTTTCCATGTGGCTTACCACTGGCAGACTGACACTTTTCTAATTTGGTCCAGTAGATTTGCAAAAAATAAAACTCTAGCTAGGTGAGTACTATAAACAGATTTATCTCTGTTTGTCAGGACGACAGTCCAGTAGCAACGTCAACAGGAGCAGTATACTATGTTTATATCGTATGTGGCGTCTGAGAATCGCACACAATGCAGTATTGTAAAATATACATCTACCATAGAAGTTGTGTGCCTATATACACAGGTTATGATATATATAGATATATAAACATCGGCTGTGATATCGATTTTATGTGATGTTCATACTGTGCGTCTACTTCATACATTGGCAATGCAAGGGAGTTGGTTTGACTTTGTTATGGGAGTGCGTTGTCAAACCCTTAGAGAATCTGAAACACTATTTCCCTCCATTGAGTCTATTAAACCCTAGCATCATAAAACCATGAGTAACAACAATACGATTTCTATAAGGGAACGAAAAACAACAAGCCCATTTTCTTTGCATCAAAGAGCGAAAAAAAGCTCGAAGTCATTGAAGGAATTTCTCATAAAAACTCAATTTTTACTCA